TGAGTCTCAGAAAGATGGTTTTCCACAAGTTGCCAAATTGGTAAGGGATAAACTAATAGTTTAAATCAGGGGGATTTTTTGTTGGGTTTTGTTTTTTTTTTACATGTTTGGTGATGTTTATTAACCCAACCTCTCAGGGGTTTGCCACACAGCTAGTGCTCTAACTGAAGGGGTGGTTTCTTTGTTTGTTTATTTGTTTGTTTGTTTTTATTGCTGTTCAAGCACAGTTGTTAGTTCTTTTGATTTCAGATTTTGTTCTCTTTCAATACCAGCCAGCTTTCTAGGAAACACAAGTCCAAAATTTGAAAGTTTTAGAAAGTGTTTAATATTACTCAGCATACTCCATTATTAAGATGTCTCCTATCAAGACTAGGCTTATTTAAAAGTTATTATTAGGTTATTTCTGTGCATTATAAAACAAATTTTTACTTTGTAAACTAACCTCATACAGTGCTCTCTTGATAAGCAAGATTATTTCCCAAGAACTATATAAAATATAGAAGCTGTAATTTAAGTTTGATTAATTCAACTATATCTATTTTGTTTACTTCTATATGAAAAAAAATCACCATAAACAAACTTGAAGAGCAAATAGAAATTTTGAAAACAAAACTACACTGACAAAAATGTTATATTCAATATATAATAATCTTTGCAAGGAAGAGAAATAAAGGAAAACATACTGGTAAGATATCAGAAAACAAATGCTAAAGATCCAAAAATACTAGTTAATTTAAAAAATACAAATAGGAAACTGACTTCCAGCCAAGATGGAGTCATAGGTAGACACACTGTGCATCCTCGCACAACCAAAAGGAAGACAACAACAATTTAAAAACAAAAAACAACCAGAACTGACAGAAAAATCGAACTGTATGAAAGTCCAACAACCAAGGAGTTAAAGAAGACACATTCATCCAGACCAGTAGGAGGGGTGGAGACAGGAAGCTAAGCAGAAAGGACTCCAGGCAAGGCGGTGGCTGACAGACACAGTGAGGCACTCCCAGTGGAGTGGGACACAGAAGGCTGCAGATGGCCAGCAAAGCAGCAGCAGGCAGACCGGGCGAGGCAGCAAATTGTGGACTGGGCAGTCCCACATTCTCATGTAGATAAACCGGGAGGAACAACTGGGGAGCAGGATGGACTACAAAACCCACTGCCCCAGTGTAGGGAAATAAAGCCTCAAACCACCAATTGAAAACACCTGTGGGGGTTGAGGCAGCAGGAGAAACTCCCAGCCTCACAGGAGAATTGTTGGAGAGACTTGCAGGGTCCTAGAATGTACACAAACCCACCCACATGGGAATCAGCACCAGAAGGGCCCAATTTGCTTGTGGGAAGTGGGGGAAGTGACTGAAAGTCAGCAGAGAGCGGAGCAAGCTCCATTGTTCCCTCTCAGACCCCTTCCCCATGCACAGTGTCACAACACAGTGACATGGGTTACCCTGCCCAGGGAAACAGCTAAGGCTCTGCCCCTCACTACATAACAGGCACAACACACACACAAAAAATGGTCCAAATAAAAGAACAGATCAAAGCTCCAGAACAAAATACAACTAAGTGATGAAGAGATGGCCAACTTATCAAATGCATGGTTCAAAACACTGGTAATCAGGATGCTTACAGAATTGGTTGAATTTGGTTGCAAGTTAGATGAAACAATGAAGGCTATGCTAAGTGAAATAAAGGAAAATGTACAGGGAATCCATAGTGATGGGAAGGAAACTTGGGACTCAAATCAATGGTGTGGACCAGAAGGAAGAAAGAAACATCCAACCAGAAAAGAATGAAGAAATGAGAATTCAAAAAGATGAGGAGAAGCTTAGGAACCTCCAGGACATCTGTAATGTTCCAACATTTGAATTATAGGCACACCAGAAGGAGAAGAGGAAGAGCAACAAAGTGAAAATGTTATTTGAACAAATAATAAAGGAGAACTTCCCCAATCTGGCAAAGGAGATAGACTTCCAAGAAGCCCAGGAAGGTCAGGAAGCTCAGAGAGTTCCAAAGAAGTTGGACCCAAGAAGGAACACACTAAGGCACATCATAATTACATTACCCAAGATTAAAATGAAGGAGAGAATCCTAGAAGCAGCAAGAGATAAGGAGACAGTTACCTACAAAGGAGTTCCCATTAGACTGTCAGCTGATTTCTCAAAAGAGACCTTACAGGCAAGAAGGGGCTAGATAGAAGTATTCTAAGTCATGAAAGGCAAGGTCCTACATTTAAGATTGCTCAATCCAGCAAAGCTTTCATTTAGAATGGAAGGCCAGATAAAGTGCTTCCCTGATAAGGTAAAACTAGAGGAGTCCATCATTACCAAGCCCTTATTATATGAAATATTAAAGGGATTTATCTAAAAAAGAAAATTAAAAATATGAACAGTAAAGTGACAGCAAACTCGCAATCATTAACAATCACACCTTAAACAAAAACAAAAGCAAACTAGAACAGGAGCAGAAACACAGAAATGGAGATCACATGGAGGGTTATCAATGGGGAGTGGTGGGGGAGAGGGGGAAAAGGTACAGACAATAAGTAGCATAGATGGTGGTAGAAAATAGACAGGGGGAGGGTAAGAATAGTATAGGAAATGTAGAAGCCAAAGAACGTATATGTATGAACCATGGACATGAAGTAAAGAGGGGGGAATGTGGGTGGGAGAGGGTGTGCAGCACAGAGGGGAGTGAAGAGGGGAATATGGGATGACTGTAATAGCATAATCAATACAATAAAAAATAAATAAAAGAAATACAAATAAAGAGGAACTTTTTATTTTAATCAGTTTGCAAAAGATTGGAAAGATTTGTAGAATATTGTTTTTAGAGTGTGGCCATATTTCTAATTCTATGACCTACTGGGTAGTAAGGTAATTTGGTTTAACTTTTCAAGACTGCATTTGGCAATATGTTTTGAAATGCAAAATGTTCACATCCTTGGACTAAGAAGTTGTACTTCTAGAAATCTTTTCTAAGGAAAAATAGTAGCTTTTGTACTAGGTGGTTTATTACAGCATTATTTACAATAATTAAAATTTGAGAGTAATACAACAGGAGGTCTCTTTTAATAAATGTATGATTAGTTAAATGAAATATTATACAAATATTTAAACTGTAATACCAATAAATATTATTGGCACAGGACCGTGAAATATTTTAAAATTAAAAGATCACTGTAGTAATTACATTTTAAAGTAAAATTTACTCTTGTACTGCAAATTGTTAACTTCAAATGTATCTGTCATATACTCTTTCAGCAATTTTAAAAGCACATTATTGTACTTTATCTCATTTTACCCTCACATAAATAACTCTATGAGGTAAATATGACTGGTATTACTAACTTCATTATACATATTAAAAAGTTAAAATGCAAAAATACTAAGAGTCTTTGGCAAAGGCCATATAATAAGCCATGGAACTCAAATATTTTTTCACTTCTTATCCAATGATGTCTCCACTATTCAGTTAACAAGCCTTCTCAAAGGAAGAAACAAGACTATTTCACAGCACTCACATTCCAAGCTGAGAGCCCTGTGGAGGATCTCTATAGGGACTCTCCCCTATTTCTCTACCCCCAACATCACCTGTCCAGTTTCACAAACGATGAACTGCATTATGTTTATTCCCACAATATCCAAGCTGAGGTGTATTACAGTTCCCCAAATGTTAACTTTCTTTTGAGAATATACTACAGATGGGCGATAGGGGGATAAGGGTGTCCAGTACAGATAATGCAATATCCCAACACAAAACACCCACCTAACTTCCAGCCAAAGGGAAGAGCCAATTAGAGAGTAATTGTCATCCACAGGTGGGTAGAACCAATTGAATAATCTGCATATCCAGTTTCTGGTATCTAGGACTCTTATCACATAACACTATGATACATAACATGAGCTCTCATTAAACTTTTGACCCATTCCCAATTCAGGGAGGACTCTAACTCTCATTACATGCTTAAATTATATTTTGTATCCAATTTCATTATCTCCTGGTATGTTTTCTCTAGATTAAATAAGGAAAAGGGCATTAAAACATGATAGAAGCAAACATTCAAGATCAATTAATTTAGCTCTTAATAATTTTTTCAGTAAAAGTTCTCCTTTTCAGTTTATATCTCTGTTCATTTTAATCATATACTCCAGCTATTTTCCACTTAGCAATTACCAATTCCTTTGTGTTGTATTTTTGCCTTTTCTCAGTTTACTTCCTGAAGATTCCATATTTCAAGGGCCTTTTATCTAATCCTTTGTATATACAGCTTCACAAATTTTATATTATTTCACAAACAAATTTATTGCCTCAAACAATGCATAGTAAAAGCATCTGATGAAAAATGACAGCATAAAAGTTAACTTCTGAACTATGTACATTTATCATATGCTTTATTATATTTTCAGATAATTTGAAAGAAGGTTCAAAGACAAAGGCAAAAACTGTCACTATAGAAGCAAGGAAAACTACACCAAAACAGGATAATCATTTGAAAATTTGGGCAGTCCCATCACAAAATAGTCAAACTGGTCCTAAATACCTGCACAAGGGAAAACTAAGTGACCCTGAGAAAACCTATGAAAAGAGACAAAAACAGAAAACTGAAGTGAAAGTTAAAGAACTTCCTGAGAAAACTCAGATGAAGAAAGAGAAGAGAGAAAAAAAAGACAAAAGGAAAGATATTGAGAAGGACATGGACATAGAAAAGAAAACAGATAAAGTCCAATCAAAGAAAGGAAATGGTGAAAATGATGAAGGTGAAAAAAGGGAACAAAGAGTAAACATGAAAAAAAGGGGAGATGATGAGACGGAGGACAAAGACCAAAAGGGAGATAAAGACAAGAAGGAGGACAAGAACATAAAAGAGAAAATATACAAGGAGAAGAGAAAGGACAAAAATGAAGATAATATCAAAAAGGGAGATGAGGACAGGACAAGGGACAAGGACAAGAAGGGAGATGACAATGTAAGGGACAAGGCCTTGAAGGGAGATGACAATGCAGGGGACAAGGGCAAGAAGGGAGATGACAATGCAGGGGACAAGGGCAAGAAAGGAGATGACAATGCAGGGGACAAGGACAAAAAGGGAGATGAGGACAGGACAGGAGACAAGGACAAGAAGGGAGATGACAATGTAAGGGACAAGGCCTTGAAGGGAGATGACAATGCAGGGGACAAGGACAAAAAGGGAGATGAGGACAGGGCAGGGGACAAGGACAAGAAGGGAGATGACAATGTAAGGGACAAGGCCTTGAAGGGAGATGAGGACAGGACAGGGGACAAGGACAAGAAGGAAGATGACAATGCAGGGGACAAGGCCTTGAAGGGAGATGACAATGCAGGGGACAAGGACAAAAAGGGAGATGAGGACAGGGCAGGGGACAAGGACAAGAAGGAAGATGACAATGCAGGGGACAAGGCCTTGAAGGGAAGATGACAATGCAGGGGACAAGGACAAAAAGGGAGATGAGGACAGGGCAGGGGACAAGGACAAGAAGGGAGATGACAATGTAAGGGACAAGGCCTTGAAGGGAGATGAGGACAGGACAGGGGACAAGGACAAGAAAGGAAGTGAGGACAAAAAGGAGAGCAAGGACACAGAAGGAGATTCTATGGGAAAAAAATGATCAAGTAAAGGAGAATAAGAAGAAGAAGAAGGAGAAGAAGAATATAGACCAAAGCGGAGATGCTGAGGGGGTGGGGAAAGGACAATGAAAAGGGTCACATTAAAGAAAAATAGGACCAGATTTTATAAACTAACAAAATAGAATTGAATAATTTTATTGCAACAAATCAACTTCAAAACCATTTCCTAGTCTTTGTGATATAGTTAAAATGATAGACTCCTTGCCTTCTCTTTAGTCACAAAGTTTCTGCTTCTTTGCTTGCAATCTGACAAAAATCCCTTCAGAAATTTCATCTTTTTACATCTATTAGTCTCAAATTTCAACTTCCAAATGTGAGTGTTTTAAATGTATGTTCATAATGTGTCTTGTCAGGAAATACAATTTTTCTGAAATAAAGTTCCTATTACAGAAATTTGGAGTTCTTTTTCACAAAAAAAGTATAGCATCTCCCTGTTTACAAGTATTTTTAGTCCCTACTAAGTGCAACATCCAAACAGTAATGCAAAAATATCATCATCAAGAAAATAAATATAGCCCTGGCTGGTGTGGCTCAGTGGACTGAGTGCTGGCCTGCAAAATGAAAGGTCACCAGTTTGATTCCCAATCAGGGCACCTGCCTAGGTTTAGGGCCAGGTCCCCAGATGGGGGTGTGCAAGAAGCAACCACACGCCCTGGCTGGCATAGCTCAGGGGATTGAGCACGGGCTGCGAACCAAAGTGTCGCAGGTTCCATTCCCAGTCAGGGCACATGCCTGGGTTGCAGGCCATGACCCCCAGCAACTGCGCATTGATGTTTCTCTCTCTCTCTCTATCTCCCTCCCCTCCCTCTCTAAAAATAAATAAAAATAAAATCTTTAAAACAAAAAAAGCAACCACACATCAATGTTTCTCTCCCTCCCTTTCTTTCTCCCTCCCTCCCCTTCTCTCTTTTTTTTTTAAAGATTCTATTTATTTATTTTTAGAGAGGGAAGGGAGGAAGATAGAGAGAGAGAGAGAAACATCAACGAGTGGTTGCTGTGGGTTATGGCCTGCAACCCAGGCATGTGCCCCAGCTGGGAATCGAACCTGCGACACTTTGGTTCGCAGCCCGTGCTCAATCCACTGAGCTACGCCAGCCAGGGCTTCCCTTCTCTCTTTAAAAAAGTAAATAAATAAGAAGATAAATATAAATGAGAACACTAAAACAATGTTAAAAATATGAACATCAAAAATGATTCAGAGCAGTAAATACAATGAGAAAAATTCAGAAGAGAAAAATCTCTTGGATAGGCATAATCCACAAAGGACTTTTACAAGCAGTAGAATTTGAGCTGCACATCAGAAAAAGACAGGTAGGATTTGTACATTGTTTGAAGCCCCTATATTACTAATTCCTCTACTGGACTATAAATTCTTTGAAGGAAGATCTGTATCTTACCATTAGCTCCATCCTCACTGCCTACCACAATAGTTACTAAATGTATTGACTGGGATAGAAAGTAAGGGAACAAAAAAGGCTAGAACATGGAAAATGTATTCTAACAGCAGAGAATTTGTGTGCAGCAAAGTTCCCTAAAGTGTAGTCTCCAGACCACCACTGATGTGTAAGGTGATTTCAAGTGGTACCCAAGCAAACATTTTATTTTATTTTGTACTGCTATTCTATAACAGTTGTCCCAATTTTCTCCCTTTGTCCTCATATACCAAGCCCACCCCTCACTCCCACAATCAATCTCCACACCATTGCCCATGTCCATGGATCACTCACACATGTTCTTTGACTAGTCCCTTCCCCTTCTTTCAACCATTAAACATTTTAATAATGACATTTAATATTTACTTTTATGTGAATTAGAAAAAAATGTATATCCAGTTAATCAAGCCCCTTATTTGGGAGCCATTATAGGTAATGATAAGACTAAGTAAAAAGATGAGTCACTTTAAAGAAAAATATTAAGTAAAAAATAGTACAGGGTGTATTTTGATATGGCAAAAATTATGACGAATGGTTGTAACTAAATGATTGAAATTTGGCAAACACTTAAGGTATTAGAAGAAAATAAGGTTGAAATTTTAAAAGGGGGGTTCTGGAGGAGCTTGGGCTTTTATTTCATTTATTGATAAGAAACAGAGCTATAAGTTGGGTTGTCCCTCAGAAAGAGTAATCTGCTGGTTTAGAAAAGTGAAAGGAAGCTGAGAGATCAATCAGAAAAACATTGCAGTGCATTAAAAAGCAAGAGCCTAAACTAATTTGGAGACAATGAGAATAAAATGAAAAAAAACAGATGTGAGAATCATTTTGAAAGAGATATGAATTTACTTTGACAACTAACTACATATGTGTGGCATGGTGAAACTCAGATATGACTCCAAGTTTTTGATACTTGGTAGCTGATAAATGAAATCACCTTTTATAGAAAAAAGAAATCCAGAGAAAGTTATATTGTTTGTTCAGTTTTAAAAGAGATATATACATACATATATATGTATGTGTGTTATATACATATACATATGTTTATATACATGTGTGTATATATATATAAACTAGAGCTCAGAAGGGAAGGGAAATTTACTTAAGGATACAGACTAAAGGGTCATTTCTACATAAGGGATATTCAAATAATGAGCATTAGATCAGATCTCCAGAAGAGGGACTATAAGTCTAGACACTTGTGCTTTGTTGAAATTTAGTAAAGAGGAAAAGAAAATATGACAAACAAAAACTGAGAAGTATGAAGTAAGTAAGAACAAAGAACAAAAACTCAGAGGAGGCCTAAAACAATTGCATTTATACCCATGGAGACATATTAGTTACAAATTGACAGCAAACTAGATGGCAGTGGCTGCCTAAGATAGTTGAATTTTAGTGTGTATTTTTAGGAGCACAATAGGTGGAAGGAAAGAGGAGGTAGACTCTCTCTAGTCTGCAATGTCTACAATACCTCTAAGACCTTAGCACCATGTTTAACCTAAAGGGCCTTCACAGGAGAATAACTGATGTAAAGAAAAGAAATAAACTTCATAGGTTTAAATTCTGCCTCCGGAAAGATGGGGTAGATCTACTTTTTCCTATTCTACCCACTAAGTATGACTAAGAAAATTGGGTGTTGTATATAAAACAAACATAAGAAGAATTTGGAAATGGAAAAAGAAGGAAGACCAGATAAGGGTCTTAAAACTCAAGGAACAATATGCTGGTGAGTTCCCTGGGTTTTCTTCTTGCTTTATACATCCCAGACTTTGAGCCAAAAAAGCTAGCAACTAATAGGCGTAGACCAAGAGGAGCCCCAACAAAGGCGTAAAAGAATATCCTGGCAAGACACAAAACTTTTGGGGTCTAGTTCAACCAAATACCACAGGAAAAAACTGTGGTACCACACCCATTCACACCAACAAAGGCCCAGTAAAGAACATAGACTTTTACCCTCATGAGGTTGTAATGAAGTGCCCCAACAAGACCAATGGTGTGGTGACAGAGATGGGCCAAAAAATAAAGTTAGGACATCCATCTCCACTGACTAGTAAAAGGCCTTTTACCCTTGGCATCAGTGACAACCTGAAGGGGAGTCTTCATTTCCACCCACACAACTGATGATAATGAAATGCTCCTTTCCTGCTAGGATTGTGTCAGAGGAGGCCTAGTGGAAATTGAGGCCATCTGCACTACAATATCAGTGGAAAACAGATGGAGAGCCACAACTCCTACCCCTGCCCAGTAGTAACAAGGAGCATTCCCTCATCACGAAGTGTTAGCAGAGGTCAAGTGGAGAAATAGGGCTTCTTCCTTATCTGACAGAAATGAAGCAGTGCTGCCCCCTCACTTCCCCTGCCACAGAAGTACCAAAAAAAAAAAAAAAGTCAGCTAACCCTGGCCACTGTGGCTCAGTTGGTTGAAGCATCATCCCATACACCAAAGGGTCACTGGTTTGATTCCCAGTCAGGACATATACCTAGGTTACAGTTTGCATCCCCAGTCAGGGTGCATGCAGAAGGGAGCCAATCAATGCTTCTCTTTCATTCTCTCTCTCTCTCTCTCTCTCTCTCTCTCTCTCTCTCTCTCTCTCTCTCTCTCTCTCTCTCTCTCTCCCTATTTCCCTCTCTCCTAAAATCAATGAACATGTCCTCAAAAGAGAATTTTTTAAAACCAGCTAAAGCAGAATATTTAAATAAGATCCATACTCTCATAACAACATAAAACTCTAGGTTTCAAATGAAAATCACTTGTCATACTAAGAACCAGAAGATTTCAAATTGAGAGAAATTATGCAATCAACATATGCCACTAAGGTGACACTAAGGTGATAAAGACATTTGAATTATCTAGAAAAGATTTTAAAGCTGCCATGATAAAAATGCTTCAGTGAAAATTAAGGAGGTGGTAAGATGATGGCAAAGGAATGGAAGTAACACTAACCTCCTCTCAGGACCAATCTGGAATTACAACTAAATTATGGAGAAATCACCCAAAACAAACAACTGAACAATGGTGATTGAGAAGCCTTATGACTTCGAATACACAGAAGAATCAGCTTCAGCACAACCTGACAGGTAGGCAGTATGGTGGAGATGCAAGAGGGCTGGCTGGGCACCCACAGGCAGCAGCTGAAGCACTGGAGGGATACCTAAGCAGCTGCTTGGATCCCCCTGAGAAGTGTGGGATCTAAACCCTAAGTTGGGATCCCCAGCCTAGAGCACCAGAGCCAAAAAAGTACACAGATAACACCCAGTGACAGGAGGGTTGCTCTCTTGCAGAGATGGAGGCTGGAGACACAAAAAGCCATTTAAAGGGCCAATGCATGAATCTCCATCTATAGCCACTTACCCTGCACTCC